AAAAATTTTCCCCCCCCCCCCCCCCAGAAAGTTAATTGATTTTTTTTGCCCCCCCCCCCCTAAAAGTTTTCTGCTGGCGCCCATGATTGCATGTCATTTTGCACTGACGACTATTCCATGATGGGTAAACATTATCATCAGGTGATTTGGTACATCGGACTAAGGACATGGGACTTTGATATGAGACAATTCAATGTTCAGCAAATCACACTAACCAAAGTCAATGCATCTCTAAATGCATGTGCATTGTCAACTCATGCATGCCTTCTGCGTTGTATTGTAAGTTTGCAGAATTTTACCTGGCAAAACATGAACCAGCGCTTGCAGTCTTCCAGCCATGGTGTTGTTTTTTTAATTATTTTATATAATTACAAGCAAGACAACTCAAGTTTTATTCAGAATCGTAGATGTAAACAATTACGTCACCAATAATCGAGGCCGTTTGGCACTTTGTAACGAAAAGTTGGTAATTGTCACAACTACAATCACTCACAACCACAATCTAGTTATGAGTTATAATAACAGGCGTTGTGGATCAAGTGATAGTGAATATACTTTATTATATTATTATATACTAAACACACGATCATAATAATGATAAAAGTTAATACTTGAACTTGAAATACAAGAAATACTCATGTTAAACATACTGATCCGCAAAACACTTGGAATTTAGCTTCTCGGTAAACTTCTTGGTAACTTCTCTACTTGATAAAGATATCACTATGACCAACTCTACATTCATCAATATGGACATAAGATCAACTGCCCTACATTTCTTATCCGTCCCACTCATCTCTCATTGGTTAGTTTTTACCAAGTGCCCATACTCTATAAGTGATAATTCTTACGTTACTTAACTCCCTTGTATTCATTATCTCGTATCTGTGACAGTAATCTTGCAGTTCAGGTGCGTTTATTATTTCTGATCGAAAATTGCAATCTGGAATGTAGTGTGAATTTTTAAAAAAAACAACAAGAAAATGGAGAGATCGTTTACCGGCGATGTTATGCAGTAATGGGGGCTGTAAAAATCAATAAAAAGAAAATAAATAAGTTAGTGCTGTACAATAATTTAGTGTTAACTTAACTAATACTGTCTGAACTAAATTTTATAAATAATACACGTAAGTTTACACGCGATAATATGAAATTCAATCAGAAATAATATACGCACCTGAACTGAAAGATTACCAAAAAGTTTGACAAATTCTAGGATGCTAATGCTAATGCCATGCCAATCAATCATCAATTATCAATGATGATGGTGGGCACCTTGACTTACATTATAACTGTCGTCAAACATGTCGACAATATTTTCTTCAGGGTCTTTAGTAGTCATTTCTTAACAACTTTATTTATTTTAAAATGGCACATTTGTAAGCTTAATAAAATATTTTAAGGTTTCATTTTTATATTTTAAAAGTCGTGAGGTTAAAACATAAGCCACTGCTAAAAAAAAATACGTTTTATCATAACGAAACAAAGTAAAATTATTAAAATATCTTTTTCACAAAAGAGTGGTTGGCTTGGTACTAAAGAGATCTTTTTTTTAAAAATATCAAAGTCAGAACTGTGCGGGAGGGGTGGGGGTTGGGGGGGGAGGGGGGAAGGGAGTGGCTGGTGTCATAAAAGTACTGAGAATCATACTATGCAAATTCTTATAAAGTATATTCAACTTAAAAATATAAAAAATATGAAAAGTTGTTTCTCTCCCCAAATACTCAAATCGCACGATGTGGTTTTTCAGAACCTGTGTGATTCATGTTACAAAATGGCACCCGCAGCGAACTCACGAAACTGCGTCCCTAATCACACATTTAGGATATAATATGTTAGTCATTAGTATTAACAAAAGTGCCGCCGGAAATCTTCCCCTTCGCCCCACCCCTATGCCCATAAGTCCTAATTCTTCTTCTTCTGACCGCTGCTACTGCCGGCTACTGTGGTGGCGTCGCGGTGAAGTACAATATGCTACATTCTGCAGACGATTCCTGTTGTGGAGTTGTGATTGTATCCTTCACCACCGTCCATCCATCCCAGGCGTGGTCTTCCTTTGGCCCTTAACTCACCAGGGGGATCATTTCAGGTTTTTCATGGGGAGGGGGGGGAGGGGGACAAACCAAAACTTGGTCTAATTGTTAAGTTGTTTATTGCTGGAGGCGGCACAGTACATAGCTATTTAAATAAAACCTGCAAATTCATTGGTTGGGGGGGAGGGAATGCCCCAGGATCTCTCCCCCACCCCCAACCCACCAAAGAAAATGTCTTTATTCTTAGCAAACCCGGTAATGTGGAAAAAAATACAGGAGCGCTGTTCCCGTGCGTTCCCATAGGACTCGAGCCATGGTTGAGCGGTACTCTGACGCAGGTGGACAAACGTAAGGCCCTGATTTTAAAACCTAAAATTATGGTAAGCTTAAAACTAAACAACTCTACTGGAGCTTACAACTAAACAACTCTACTGGAGCTTACAACTAAATAACTCTACTGGAGCTTACAACCAAACAACTTTACTGGAGCTTAGAACCAAAAAACTCTACTGGAGCTTACAACTAAAAACTCTACTGGAGCTTGCAACCAAACAGCTCTACTGGAGCTTACAACTAAACAACTCTACTGGAGCTTACAACCAAACAAATCTAGTGGAGCTTACAACTACACAACTCTGCTGGAGCTTACAACTAAACAACTCTACTGGAGCACACTTACCAAAAGAGTTCAGTTTTTACAATTATGAAAACGAGTAAAAGATGATTTGAAGAATACCATATGTATATGCCTAAGCCTAACCCTAACCCTAACCCTAACCCTAACCTGTATATGCCTAAGCCTAACCGAGATCAGCCGCATCCGGAAATTTGAATCGAAAGAAATTTCTTCCACGGAAAATTGATCGACGGAAATTCGATCGAACGGAAATTTCGTCAAATCTTTTTTTTTTTTTTAAGTTCTCACGTTAAAATTTTGCTTCAAATTTCTTTTTGAACGCATTATTTTGTTTTACTCTGTAGCATACGTTTCAATAAAGCTTGAATTTAAGGACAGGACAATAAGATTAGAATGTTACGGGCATAGATACTTCCTAAGAGTGTTTTCTAAGCCTAGGTATTCCTTTTAAAAGTTCATCCTCTGATAACTCATCACAGAAAAGGGTTAATTTCGGAACGAAATTCCAATAACTCTCCCTCACATGCTGATAGTAGACTCTTGAGTTAATTAAACAGCCCCAAACCTATCTGCTGCTGCTTGATCACTGCTGATTAGATCAAGAGATCAGAATGAAAGAGATCAATGCACATCCGCATCTCCCTTCTCTTTTCATCTCGCAGAGAGA